CTGTTTTTCATTTAATCATTGTTTGCTTAATTCTCCTAAACAAAGCCACCAGTAAAAGTCCTATTCATTGAGGCTGAAAGAACTAAAACATAATCATCTAATAATTGGTTGGCAATTAAATTTCTGTAAGGACTGATTGATCCTTGCTGGCACGCTCACAATTACAAAAATAACCTTCGAAAGCCAAAAAAGCCAACAGTAACATTGCTAATTGTCAATTTCTTTTTTTAATAAAAAAAAGTTTGTTCGGTATATAAAAATATTTTGAAAAAAAAATAAAAATAAAGAATCACGTTTATAAGTTGTTGCAGGAAGTGGTCGAATGAATGTGGTGAGCCAAGTTTGTTTAATTTGGTTCGTTTAACAGTTAACATTAAATATCTCAATAGTAGTGGATCCACCGATTAGGAGTGGATCCACGTTTATAACTCATCAAATGGATCCACCGATTAGGTGGTGGATGTTGATTGGTGTATATATATATCGGAAAATTTTTGGTGGTTAGAATTTTTGTAGCTCGAATGGCTCAAATGTGCTAAAACGATATCGTTTTATACTCAAAACGATATCGTTTTGAGTATTTCGAGTCATTCGAACTATGATTTTTTAGGCCATCTAACATTGTTGATATATATCAATAGTAGTCGCAAATCATGTCTATCTCATGTAAATATTGAATACTACTACTACTACACATTTACAATACAATTGTCGGTAATACATAGATCTTCAAAGCGCATGCTTGTGTTTTGTTGTATGGCTGCTACTAATGGGCTTCAGCTGTGTACACGTATCAACATCATATGGATCAAGATCACATGGATGGCCAGATGGCCAGCCCAGTGGACTCACTTTTGTTTAAAAAACATTGCCAAGATAAAATGTAAGTTGGTTTGAAAATTTATTTTTTAGTAATGCTATATAAACAATAATTTTTCTAGAATTTTTTTGTGACTTTCAACTTCTTATAAAAAAAAAATATGTAGAAGATACAGAAAATAGATTGACTTTTGTATTAAAATTTTCAATTTTAACTATTTTAGCCAATTGTCAAATATAGAATAGTACCAACAAAAAAAAAAATGCTTGCTGATGGTTATGTTTATTAGAAGGGGAAAAAAATGATAGAAAGTGAAGTGAAATAAAGAAAATGAAAAAGAAAATGAAAATGTATTTTATTTTGGTAAATATTTGATTAGGATAAAAATTTTGCAAGAAAAAAGAAAGAGAGAGAAATTTGAAACTTTAATTAGAAAAAAAATATTGTAATTGTTGGATGTCTAAGTATCACTCTTTTTATGACAACTAATTATATTTAACATCTTATAAATTAAGTAAGAATATTTGAATCTATAAAACTATAAATTTATTTGAGGGAGTCATTTTATTATTTTTTGTATTTATTATTTTTTTAGCAGAGGTTAGTCCAGATGCTTTGAATCCACAATATTTCTCTCATTATTAAGTTGTAGTTATTTATTAATACAATAATATTACAATTTTAAAATTTTATTTTGAATTTTATTCAAAGACATCAATTTATGGCTCATATTTATTAATATGTAAACCTCACACTATATCAATTTAATTTCTACCATAAAATTGAACACTTAAAAACATTATAAGATGCTATGTTTGTTACCAATAAGAATAATGTTATATGTATCAATTAATATACTAACTAGTGCACCAATTGATGATGTGGCATAATTTAAGAGATTTTTAGCATTTGTAATTTGTATAATGAGTAGAGTCAATAATAATGTCATAACTAGTGTTAATACACTAATTAGTACACTAATTAATACATATAACACTATTGTATCAATAATGTTAAGGAACTAACAAATGTATTAATTATACATAAAAATATTCACGTTAAGTGACGCAATCCATGTATAAGTTTAGAAAATTATGTATGGAGCGACTCATTAAGCATGTGTTGATAGTTATAATTGATATGAATTAAAAAGGATAAGTTTTTCTCCATAATTGCATATCTCTATATTCATCTATATTATTTTTGTGGATCTAAATTCGGACTCACGTCGATGATCTGAACCATCTACTTTGTAGATTCCGTAATAAAAGTCATCCATCTAAAAAATCAATTTCATCCGATATCTATAAACATAAGAACAACTCGTATTTGTTTTTATAGCGATTCTGGTTCTGAACCGACCCTTATTGTATCCCGAGCTCGAGTTTCATGATTATGTATTGTTGTTTTTGTCTCTTTCTCCCTTATTTTTCATTGAAATAGAGTATTGGAGTGTTTTGGTTGTGTTTGGATTAGGTTGGTTACTAGTTGGTTTAAATTGCTGTTGCCCAGATTTTGGCCTCTTCACTCAAGCGAAGCTTCTTGCGCTCGAGCGTGCTTTGTGAGCTCCCAGTACTTTTACAGGCTTGCAAAGATACTGGGAGGGTAGTTGT